AAAATCATTTATTCCAATTAGACCAATTAGACACTTTTGAACGTCAAACAAAATTTTGAAGATATAGTGCCAGTCTGTCGGTCAGTCCTCTTAGTGAAGCTATTTGCCCGTTCCAAAGTGTAGATTCCGATGGAGAAGAACGAGCAAGAAACTCCATGATTACTCTTTTTAAATCAGGATGTTTTGATGTTTCATTATTATTTAAATCTGGATAACCTTTTGAAGGTTTCATTGATGTCCTGGCAACATGTAGCGATGTGGTGACTACTTTTAAAACCTAAATTACATAGATAGCATCATACGCTACCTTGAATTTCCGTAACAACATTATCAACCAACTCCAACCTCCAAACTATTATGTGACTGGTCTAAATAGCTAATACAATTTGACGGCTCACCAATCAAGCGCGGACGTTCCTATGTGCCAGCAAATGAGCTTTTTCTCCAACCTAGTTGTCGTGAAAATGAATCTGACCTCAGGATTAGGCCTTCGTTTATTTTCGTCTTCAGAATAATGGTCTTTGTCACGGCACTGTCACCTTACTAGACAAATTATACCAATTTTATACGTTTCTTTTTCATTCGTTCATTTGTTTCTACTGATTACTTACTCCGTTGTTTTGTTTTGTAATTGGATCATGGTCACTGATAATCTTACTAAATACGTTAATTTCTTTTCGGTTCGTTGTAGATTTTCGTTATTTTGTTGTTTGTTATCACAATATTGTCTTACTTTGTTTTTGCTTCGTGACAGTTTCCAAGATTGATTGTCTGCTTATTTTTTACTGACTTCAAGAAAGGAGGTTCTCAATTCTAGGGTTCTCTATGTATGTTACTATATGCTTATATAAATATAATACGAACTGTGAACACCGTGCTATATTTAAGCAATGCACAAGAAGCGAGACCCGGTAGGCAGCGATTCCAAAAACGAAAATAGCGATACTTTAGACTAGACTTTATCGAGGCAATTTTTAAATAGTTTTGTTTTTTGTGGTTTGTGTAGATGTATAGCTTTGCTAAGTGCACAATATAGTTTCCGAAGTATATTTTGTATATTTATATACTCATGTAAAAATATCGAAAAACTCATATTTTTCTGCTATTAAGAACAATTGATATTAGTTACAGCGAATTATGATGACAATACCTACACAGACATCACCAAAACATCTGAATTTCAACCAAATAATCTGTTTGATGAAGAAATGAAATCATGGCGTTATACATAGCTCCCTTAAATAAGATCAAGTTTCACTTAATAAATAGGCAATGAAAATTCCAAATTCCACCAAGACACGAGGAGATGGGAAAGTCATTAGATTACATGATATGAAGTAATAATAAAATCTGATTATGTTGATGGATTTTTTGATAGAATTGATTATACATTTTCCTCTTAGACTTGATAAGTTATTACGAGAAAAGGCATTCGAACAAAAATAAGAAGGCCCAATCCTTCCCGTCTCCCAGATCCGATCTAATCGGAGTTATGCCACGGCCGGCAGTGTTGTGTGTTGGTGGCCCGGAGGTTAAGGAGCCCGCTTCTCATGCATAGGGGTTCGAAACCTGGCAAGGACCAATGTGACTTTTTCCGAGTTATAAGCAATTTCTACAATTATTTAGACACCACTGACATACGGTGGAGGTAAACATCGTAAGGCAACCTGGACTTATAATTTCTAATAATAAGTTTGAAATCGCCAACCCGTATTGAGCAAGCGTCGTGATTAATGCTCTAACCTTCTTCGTATGAGAAGAGGACTTTTTTTTATGTAATAGCTCGGCAAACGAGCAGACGGATTACCTGATGGTAAGCAATCAGCGCTGCCCATGGACACTCGCAACGGAGGAGTTACGAGTGCGTTGCCGACCTTTTAGGGATTAGGGATTTGGAGATTTAGGGATTGAGGAGGGATTGGGGAAGGGGAAGGATTGGGCCTCCGGTAACCTCACTCACACGGCGAAACACAACGCAGTGGTTATTTCACGCCGGTTTTCTGTGAGGCCGTGGTATCACTCCGGTCGAGCTGACCCATTCGTGCCGAAGCATGGCTCTCCCACACTTAAATATGTGCTTTGCTATACTTTGCTCAGCAGTGGGCACCTATAGGCTGATGATGTTGGGTTTCGCCGTGAGAGTGTGAGTACAGGAGCGCCAAACTCAATCACTAAATCACCGAAACCCCATTATCCCCAAAAGTCCGAAATCCAATGCACTAGTTGCGGAAGACTATTCTTACCATCAGCTAATAAACGTCTGATTTTTTACCACAGATAATAAAAAGAATTGTTTATTTTGTATTTTCAAATATATGCCAAAAATGTACAATTCCACTAAGCCATCATTCGTCATTACTACAGAGACCATGATTTTAATCCAATCAATCAAAAATGGAATCAATAGCTATTCACATAAAAGTCACATTTTCATTGCGTATCACTCTTAAATCCCAAATCCCATTGGGCAGCGTTGCAATTTCGATCATATTGTATATGTACATAGGTTTTAAAAAGCTATAGAGCTAAAAGGGGATTTGCGACGAGCTTTGGACAATCGAGTTCCATTTCGTTGCAATATTTTACTATTAAGGGTTTACACATACATGGATTTGTGACAGTGGTTTCATGACATTGTGCTACAATAAATATGAATATCGTGATAAAATTTTATTGTATTTCCAATTTTTTAAGCGATGTATTTGTATTTATATTGTTTTTCAATATTACGCGTTCGTCATTTTAATCTTTTTCAAATTAGTTTTTTTTTATTCCATTTGCCAATGCAACGTTAATCAACAATGTGGCGTAACTTTAATAACTTTGTAGTACTTAGATGTAAAAGTAACGAATAAAATATATAGTGTAATCAACGTTTTTTAAATGACTGAGAAAATTGTGATAACCAATAATTTCATTGTGACAAAGTTGTAATACACTATAGCTTTTGCCAACTCCATTCGCTTGGAACAGTGACTTCCTGCAGATTTTTGGTATACAAACTATCCTTTGTCTATTGTCTATGTCTAAATTTCACAGAAATCGGTTCAGTATTTTAGGCGTGAAAAAAAAGACAGACACGAATTTATAATATTAGTATAGAAGTATAGATAGTATAGCTGATAATACTAACTTCAAATGAAATACAAAAATGAAATTACTATTTTTATTAATTATAATTCTCATTTTTCGACATAAAATGAACAGACAGTATACAAAGCATATGTACAATTTTATATTTTAGTTATTGACACTGTTCTAAGGCGAGAACACTAGATTTATATTATATCACTAAACACAATACTGCCCATGACCATTTATAATAATTACTATGATTATTTATTATTATTTACAATTAATTATAATAATATGACGACAACAATGAGTTTCTTTGGTATAAACAGCTTAGAATTAACAGGTATAAATATGAATAGAATAAAACATGTTATTTATAAATAAATAAGTCATAAAATTATATTTAAAAATGTTCTCAATTAATAATCGAAAATACTAGAATACAAAATAAATAAATAGTAACGATCATGGGCCAGAAGTAAAATAATTCAATTATTTGGCTTATTTTGTAAAAAATAATTTAATTTTATGATAAATTTATCTATAAGAAAACCTCTTCTATTATAAGTAAATGACATTTATTATTATTATTATTATAAACGGGGCATGATACACTTTAACATTTTCAATTTCTATAAATGTATTTTGAAAAACTGATCGATTGTACTGGCTATCATTTAATTCTATTTTTTCTTCTTTATTACCAACTAATTTATTTCACTTTTGTCTTTCATTTTATTCTGCATAAACTTATTAAATACTCACAAACGATACTTTTAAATGTACATAATTATTATTTAAAGCGACTATACATTAATAAAAATTATTGTGAACTATAAAAATCCTATTTGAAAATGCTTCAAGTTTCGTTTTTTTATAAATGTCACTATCTGATATGTATTTACACGACGAGTATTATAAAAATATCAGTCCAAAGGAATCGAAGATCTAGATAACTTATATGTGTATATATTTTTTGTATTAATAATAATAATTAAAAATAATCTACTCATTCAAAATCTGAAGCATTTTCTTTAAACTTATTTTTCAAATCAACTATGTACTAATAATAGTCCAGTTTACATAAGAAAACTATGACAGATATTACGGATATTCTATTTCTTTATTACCTAAAACGGTTTAGGCCCGCATTTTTAATATTATTTCTATACAAATATTATTTTAATTGACTATTTCAGACGCTAGAAAACTTTAGCTGGGCTCACGGCTAAAAGCTTCGAAGCGTATATTCATTAAAGTATGTGACCATGAGAGAGTTAGTCTTGTTCTGTCATTATATCAGAATATTTTGTTTTTCATTTTGTTATTCCATCCATTACCACATAAACACGAATAAGTTACTCAAAATTATTGTAATTTTATTATAGTTAATTACAATCTAACATTAATCTAAATACCAACTCATTGTCACACACAATACTATTCTTGTTTCATTAAATACTTCATTTATTATCATTATAAATCTAAAAACATTTATATCATGAGTATTACCACAATGTCTTCGACATTACTTGAAGCAATATCTATCACTCTAAACTAGCATTACAATAATTAATTATAACATTAATTAGAAATACGAAGAGACTTTAAATTCACCTTTATATACATGATCTAACAATTTATTGTCAGTTCTGAACATTTGAAGAAATAAACATCAAAATATATCTAACACTATTTACATTTAATAAAGATTTGCTTTTATAAAGCTGAAATCGCTATACATTTAATACACGTACACTACACGATCCCATATCTATACAATGAAAGCTTTCAACAAAGTCATTAATTTGGTATTGTCTTATTAATATAATTATCTTTCAATGAAAGTTGTGCGTAAAACATTTGCCATCGGACATTCGGTCAGTTTCTCCGGTTTACGCGTGTCGGTGACCGACATACATGGACTAGGTGATGTGAAAGTCCCCCCGGAGGAGTCTTGTGAAGGTCTTCTTGAACTGCTGGTTGGCGAGCGCGTAGCAAAACGGATTGATAGGACTGTTCGCGTAGCATAAGAAGTACGAGAACATGTACAGATGTTTGTTAATGCACGGCGGGTCAGTGCAGAAACCCTCCACTAGCGCCAGTATATGATACGGAGTCCAACAAACGACAAACGCGCCCAATATGAACGATATAGTTCTAAAAGCTTTCCTCGCTCGGTTTTCCGATTTCGATTTCTGCCGACCAATACTCGGAAACAGACCGTCTCGCTTTGAACGTTTAACTTTTAATTTTTTTCCTATGTTTTTTACAAACTCTTTCTTGGAGTCGCCGCGGCCTGACCCAGTTACCACGGTACTTGATATATCACTATTTTCAACCGCTGGACTTATTGCGGGATTGAGTTTCAATGGAGACGTTTTTGCCTCAACCGGCTTTGGAGGCTTTTTTTTTTTTTTTTTTTTGTGAGGGGAAAATCATCAAATGACTTCTCCCGCCCAGGGCCGGGCAGGAGGGAGTGTCAGACTCTTACTGACTAAAAACCCCCCTGTTCCTTCTCCTGCTCTGTGCCGAGGTCGCGGTACCTCATTGCGCTTACCCCGCAACCCCGGCTGAACATCAGCCCTTTAGGGCCCCGTCTGTGGTGGTCTATTGGCTCTTTGAGGCGCGCGCGGAACGCTACGCGCCGTACGCTCGGGCCTGGTTCTGGTCGGGCGGCGAGCTGCCCTTACTCGCCGACCGCAGGCCCGTACTTACGGTGGCCGGAGATCGTCCCTCGATCCCCGACGCCCGTAGTGTCGCCAGTTGCGGCTGCTGGGGCGTGAGGAGGAGGATTGCTCCCTCACGCGGGCCGCCTCTCTCTTTGCGAGCATGACTGCTTCACAAAAGGAGGAGACGGCGTCCCAGTTCCTCTCACTCCGCACCATGGCCTCGACTAAGGCCGGGCGCGAGAGGTCGCCGCCGCCGATCACTTCCCTGAGGATACGGCGGTGCTCAGCCCAGGCAGGGCATACCGCTACCGTATGCTCCACCGTATCCTCTAGGTGGTCCTCACAATGACGACACTCGGGCGTTTCCTCCCGCTGAATCCGAAACAGGAACCTACCGAAGCTGCCGTGCCCGGTAAGCACCTGCGTCAGACGGAAGGTGAGGGCGCCGTGACGTCTCTCAAGCCACTCCTCAAAGAGGGGTCTTACCGCTGCTATGGTAGCGTGCCCGGCCCTCGGTTGCGACAGTCGTTGTCTCCACTCTGCCGTGAGATCTCGCCGGAGCTCATTCCGCCACGCACTTATTTGGCGCGGCAGAGGATCTTCGCCCCGGCGACGCGCGTCTGCGCGCAAACTGTAGACGCGCGCGAGCGCCTTCGCTTCTAGATCCCACGGCGGTGATCCGGCAAGGAGGTTCGCCGCCTCCCCGGAGATCGTGCGATACCCGCGGATTACTCGTATAGCCATGACCCTCTGGGACGCGACCAGCGTACGAGCCGGCCGCCGCTTCAAGTCCGGCGCCCACACAGGGGCACCGTAGAGGGCCATGGATCGCACAATCCCCATATACAACCTCCGGCAGGAGGCGTTTGGCCCCCCGAGGTTGGGAAGGAGCCGCTTGAGCGCGGCCCCAGACCGTTCCAACTTAGGGGCCAAACGACGAAAATGCTCCGTGAAGTTCCATCGGCTGTCGAGGACGAGACCCAGGTACTTCATCGCCGACTCGACGCCGATGGTCACTCCTCCTGCCGTTACTTGGGACCCACCTGGAGGTGGCGCGCTCCGACGGCCATAGAAGCACATGGCCTCGGACTTGTGGAGCGCCACCTCGAGTCCCAACTGCCGGATCCTTGCAACGACTGTCGCAACCGCTTGTGACATCAGGTCGGCCGCCGCCTGATGCGACCTCCCGTTCGCCAGCACCAGCGTGTCGTCAGCATAGCAGACAATGCTGACGCCGCTCGGGAGGTCGGTGCGTAGCACCCAATCGTACCCGATGTTCCACAGGAGAGGTCCCAGGACCGATCCCTGTGGGACACCGCGCGACACCTCTCGCCGATTCCACACGCCCCGGTGACCGGGGTAGATGACGCATCTGTCCGTCAAGTAAGCCTCGACTACGCGACGGAGATAGGCAGGCACCCGGTGATACCGGAGTGCCTCCAAAATGCAGCTCCAGGGGAGCGAGTTAAAGGCGTTGGCGATGTCCAGAGACACCGCCACGACGACTCGCCTCCCGGCCAACGCTGTCCCCGTCGTGAGGTCCCTCACGCGCATGATGGCGTCCACCGTGGAGCGCCCTCTTCGGAAGCCGAACTGGCCGTCCGCTAAATCCGGCCCCCTTCCAGACAGGTGCCCGACGAGGCGGTCTGAGATTATCCTCTCGAACAGCTTTCCCACCTCGTCGAGCAGCACAATGGGCCGGTACGCGGACGGGGAGTCCGCAGGACGCCCCGGCTTCTTCACGAGGACCAGTTTACCCGTCTTCCACGACAGCGGAAACTGGCCTCTCTCCAAACATGCGCTGAACAGACCAAGTAGTCGAGGCCTGAGAGCCTCCGACGCCAGGACCCAGACCTTGGCATGCAGCCCGTCAGGTCCTGGGGCGGTATTCTTGCCGCTCAGCCGGCGCACCGCCACTCTCAAATCTACCTCGGTCACTTCCGGAGCGGATTCGTCGTCGTCGTCGATGTAGCCCGCATTGGGCACCGCAGGGGGCGGGGGCATAGCCGGAGGCGTGTAACCCGTCTGTGGTCGGGGGAATAGCGCCCCAACCACTTCGTCCACGACCTCCGGCCGGAGACTCTGAGTCAGTGGGGGCGCCCAGGTGCGGAGCTTATCGCGCACCATCCGGTAGGGGCGTCCCCACGGGTCTCTGTTCAGAGTCTCCAACATCTCCTCGCGGGCCCGATCTTTGGCCCGCCGGATCTCCACCCTGAGGGTGGCCTTCGCCGCCCTGTACTCCTCGTATAGCTCCGCCTCTCTGGTTTCAGCGTCCAGAGGGCGGAGACGGAGCCTGCGGTGCCTGGTGTATCGGCGTCGCGCTGCGGTGCACTCACCGCGCAGGTCTGCCAATTCCCGCGACCACCAATACACCTGGCGCTTGCGTTGGCACGGTCGGATCCGGGGCATCGCCACGTCGCACATCCTTGACATGGCGTCCTGGAGCCATCTCGCCTCCTCGTTAATGTCGGCTGGCCTGACCGGTGGTATCACCCAGGCCTGCACGACTGCGGCTTCCAGGAAAAGCTCCCGGTCCAGTTGCCTAAGCGCCCAACGCGGGCCACACGGGGCCTGTCTGACTGGCGGGTCTGCGGACTCGGCGGAGACGTCGAACCGTATATACCGGTGGTCCGAAAACGTCTCCACCTCCTCCATGACGCGCCAGTCAACAACGCGCGATGACAGAGCGGGGCTGGCAAACGAAATGTCCACCACTGACTCGCCCCGCATCCGTACGCACGTGGGGACAGAACCCCGGTTCAGCACGACTAGGCCTGTCTCCAGAGCCCAGTCTTCGACCATCCTTCCCCGGACATCAGTGAGCCGGGAACCCCAAGCCAAATTCTTGGCATTGAAGTCCCCGAGGACCAACACGGGGAGGGGACGGAACCCGACGACGACGGTGACTAACTCCCTGAGGGAGTTGTGGAACTCGACGAGAGTTCGGTTCGGAGAGAAGTACACGCCCACCACGGCGATCTCTCCGAACCGAGCCGCGACGCAACCCCTGCCTCGCTGAGGCCCTTCGGGGGTTGGGGTACCGGCGGCGGCCGACGAGATGATGGTCACCGAGCCGTCCAGGTCTGACACCCAGTGTTCCCTGGCTGGAACGAAGTACGGCTCGGAGACCACAGCAACATTGATCGACCACTGCGCCATGCTCTGGAGCAGGAGATCCTGAGCAGCGACGCAGTGGTTGATGTTCGCCTGGAGGAGGCGTAATGGAGCCATTATTGGGTATCCATCACGACCTCCTCTCTGACGGCAGCGGCGACAGCAGCAGTCGCAGGGGTGTTGGCGACTGCGGCGGCAGCGGGAGCGACGGTGGGAGCGGTGGAGGTGGCTAAGGGCCTACCTTTGCTCCTGGGCTTGGTGGGGGGGGAGCAGGTTTTGCCCCCAGCCCGGTGATCGGCCGGCTTGCCAGCCGCCGCACATACTACGCAGTGCGGCGGGGCGGTACAAGCGCCAGCCCTGTGACCGGGCTGACCGCAGCGGAAGCAGCGGTCGCTGCGGTCCACCTCTGAGGTGCACTTGGCACCCACATGGTGACCAATGAGGCAGCGGAAGCACCTCAAAGGTCGGGGTTCCAGCAGCTTCACCTGCGCCGAAACCCAGCCCACCAGGAGCCTTTTGCCCTCCGACAGTTTTTTGGCCGCTGTGACGGGGCAGCTCACTACCACGGTCCGCAGCCCCGTATTGTCCGGGCGGATGGTGCCTGCCTTCACCTGATCAGCAGGGCACCCCCCCGTCCTTGCGACAGCGGCCGCCACCTCGTTCTCCGTCACGGAGTCATCCAGGCCCATGATGCGTAGCTCCAAGCATTTGGTGGGCCTGGACACGCGAGCCTCATCCGCCGCAAGGCACGTCCTGAGCCTCTCGGCAAGGGCGTCAGCGGATGGGCCGCTGGCCGCGCCGGGGACCTCCAGAAGACGGGCTCCAGTCGCGGTGACCCTTACCGCGAACCCGTTAGGGGCCCCGAACTCCGCGGGAGTAACCGTCCCCTTCAATTTGGCGAGGACGTCGCCGTATGTCACCCCCTTCTTAGCCGCGTCCGGCTGTAGCGTGATAACTACAGCCGAGGATTTAGGGGTGAGGAGCATTGCCGCAGCGCGCTTCTCTTTGCGTCGCTGCTGCCGCCGCTGCCGCTGCTCCTTCTTGCGGCGCTTCCTCGCCTCTTTGGCGCTCCTTCTCGCCTGCCCGGCCACCTGCCACTCGTCGCCATCGGTGCGCAGCTCTGATAGCGGGGTTGGGGCTGCAACGGCTGGAATTTCAGCTGCTGCGCCTCTTCGCTTGCGGCTATTTGGTGCCAGAGGCACAGCAGGAGCCGGTGCCGGTTGAGCCATAGGCGTCCTCGTCAGCGGCGGGGCTCTCGGTGGTTTCGCCGCAGGGGGCACTTTCGCCCTTTTCTCCACCGGAGCGTCTGCTCTGACGCCGCGGCTAGGTGGCTGCTTCGTCTTCGCTGCCGCGGCTGCATAAGTGCCAGTTGCGAGCGGGGGTCGAAGGAGCCTACCCTCCAGAGCGTCGAAACGCTGCTGGAAGGCGGCCATCTCCTGCCGCATGAGGCCAAGAAGGTCGGCCTCCACTGGCTGCGAGGGTTGGGGACGACCCGCGCGAGCAGCGGCGAGTTCCGCCTTTGCTGCACGAAGTTCCGCCTCCAGGGCAGAGTTCGCAGCCGCTAATCGGGCCAGCTCGCGCCTCATTCCGGCCATCTCTTTTTGCAGAGCGGTCATCTGCCGCTCTGCTGAGCCCTTCTGGGATACCGCCGACATTATTGCGGCCTCCGCGTGCTTAAGCACTCCGTTCCTGCCAGCCTGGGTTTTTTGCCCAGCCAGCATGCGGAGTGCTTCCTTAACCTGGAGGCGGAGGCTCTCAGCGCCGCCTGCAGAATCCTCACCTCCGGACACCTCCATCTCCGAGGAGTCCGAGGGGGCAGCCTTTCCCAGGGCGCTCCCCTCCGCTGCCAGCCGCTCTGCCGGCTCAGAGCGGCTCCCAGCCGCTCTTGTGGAGCCCTTCCCCTTGCCCCTACCCCGCGCAGCCGTGGGGATTTTGGGGGCTGGGGCCTCCTGCTCGATGGAGGACGGCTCTCGGCCATCCTCCAACCTGGGACGTTTGAAAACGCCCCGGTCTTTTTTGTGGCGCAGCGCGATGCTGACGCCAGACAATGATGAGTCGGACTCTGAGTCCGACTCCTTCCTCCCCGGGGCCCGTGCCCGAGACTTGCTGGACGGGGCCAGCGCCTCCCCACGAACCCGAGAGCCAACCTGGCCCTCGCTATCTCCTCCAAGCGAGCTGACCTCGCTTGCCTTCTCCTCACCGGTAGGTGGATTTTTATTATTTTTGTGTTTAGACATCTCCATTGAAGTCCCACGAGTATGGGGGAAATAAGAAGTCCGCCCAGGGAGAGCCCCCTGTCCCTGGGTAAGTGTGCATTTGTCTCCCAACTAGGGGGTCCACCGGTCCCCTAGCTGGGGGTGCGCTCACGACTGATCCTACTCCTCAGCCATACATACCCTCGCCGCGCACCAGAACTTAGTATTGGAGGAATTTTTTATAGAGGTTATCTTCCTCGCGGTCCGGGCGGTTAAGCCAAGACCCTCGTCCCGGTCCGAGTCATAAAACATGACCATGATCTCTTCCCGGATTACGATATCGACGGGTGCAGTCGGGCGCAGCTAGTGCCCCGATGCTACTCATTGGCAGGGTGAGTGCACAACGAGCGCCGCCCTTGTTTCTCCGCCCCGCTCTCTGCTAGGTCCAGAGAGTCGTGCGGAGGAACGCCCCCACGGAGGCGTAGACTCTATGCCAGCATAGAGCCGGTCGCCTCTAGAACCCGACCGGGTTCTCCGCCCGGCCAGAAGTTCGCTGCGGGCGACAGTCAAACCAACCCTGTCACCATCCCGTTAGGGAGACTGTCGCCCGCACCCAGGGTGCACCACGGGGAGGTCTTCTGGCACGCACCCCAACCGGCTTTGGAGGCTGAGGTTCATTGTTGTTGGAAGACGACGATACAAGAGTAATGACAGGCTTGGAACGTTCGCCTGTAGTTAAACTCACCTCTGTATTTACTTTAATTGGAGGAGGCGGGGAGAAATTCGTTTTAGGCTGTGTTACTTGAGCTTCTGCGGTCGCTCGTATTAAAGCTGCTTGTAATAAAGACTTGTTAGTTTCGTTACCTGAATTTAATGTAGGCGGAGATGATGGTTCAGTCGCAGTAGCGGTGGGGAATGTAACAGACGAGGGTGGGCTCTCGTAGGTAGGCGATGGCACATTCACAGAACTCTCATCCATATATCTCAAGTCTGCTCCATCCATACCTACGAGCATATCATATGACGTGCCATCACCTTTCATAAGTCTTACAGTCCTAGTGCGAGATGATTCTGAATGTGATGGAGGGCTTTCAGATACTGGAGGACTACACCTGAATTCTGTTGGGGGTGGAATGATTCTTTGAGCAATTGTGGTCGATACTTCTCTTTGTTCGGACGGTGTTGTTATACCAGATGACAATGGAGACATAATACTAGCGGTAGACAACGGCACATTTGGTATAGGAATATTGTCAGTACCCTGCGATGTATCAGGGTTGTCAGTATCGAGTAAACTCTTCTCTGATATCTGTGATAACGATGATTTTGGCTTTTCAATCTCATGTTTAAGTATTGGCGACTGTTTCATATCAGTTTTAATCATCATACCGCCGTTGAGTCGCATGTTATTCAGTAATTGAATAGCACCTGTTTGCATCACCAAGTTGGCCACTGACGGCCGTTTCTTAACATTCGTCTGCGTAGTACTTTCTTCATCAGAGTCAAAAGCCGGGCTGCTCGACCTTTCTGCTTCTACCTGATCCTCTTTCTTATCTCCGTCAGATTCAGCTGTAGTAGAAGTACCAGTTACAGTAGCACTACTTTTGTGAGCTGAAGACTTTTGACTTGAATTAGAGTCACTAGATCCGCCAAGATTAAGTAATGGAGCTGCTAGAGACCCTTTTGATGTGGAATCTTTTCGCATTGACTCTGATACTTTCATTTGATCCTCACTGGATATAGTAGCTTTCGATAAGGCTGCCATACCGGCTGCTCGACCAGCCATTCCTGTCATAACACCAGCACTCAAAGCAACCATTGACTGCATCTTTCTTTGCTTCGCTTCACTCTTCTTTTGCATATCATACGCTGTTTTAAAAATGCCAGCATAAAGTACAATCAAAACGAACAGCGTAGTCCAATAATAGCCTATGATTAAAGCTGTATTGAATATTGGGTCTTTCAAAAACTGTACGGCACATTCGCCTTCTTGTAAATCTCTGTATCCAACAAAATGTTCCCATCCGAATATTGTCGTAAAGAATAGTAAAGCTGGGATGATCCATGTTACGGTTACCATCCAGATAACTCTATTTTTCGTACGCCAGGCTCTATACCGAGCCGCTATTTTCACGCTGCAGAATCTATCTACAGTTATAAGCAGGACTGTGTATTGTGAGACAAGACATACTGTATAGTCGACAGACAGCCAAAGGTCACATAGTAGGGGCCCTAAATGCCAGTAGCCCTTTAGAACGTAGTCAGTGTAGAATGGAAGTGACAAAGTACCTGCAGACAAAGAAAATAATACTCTATTAAATAGTTTCTTGATTACCAGACATTAAAATGCCAAGGGTGAAACTTCTCAAATTCGGAAATACCTTTTAGTCAGAATTAATTTATCAAAAGCTTGTTACAATGTTCCAGTTAAAACTTTCTTAGAGTAAACAGAAAATAATTAATCGAATAAATGGTTAATTTAATTTAGTTTGATAACAGAGACAGGTTCTCTTTTAATAAACATTTAAGTATATTTTCATTTGGAATTTGTTTACTGTATTTACAAAACTTTTCTTTCAAACTTATCTTTAAATATTTATAGAAATTGAAACATTTTTGTAGTTAAATTAGCTGTCTTTAAATATTTCTGATTTCTTTCAACAAAATTTGAGTTTTTTCACGAAGATGCGTGTAAAAAATAGTTTGATTTACAATAATTCGTACAATTTTTATGATTTATGACAATCTAGAAAAGAACATCATATGATATTGCTGTTGTCTATTTATCCTACATGCTAAGTTCATTGAAACACATTTTTAAATTTGTTTATTATTAAAATAGGTATATTTTTAAACTTGTTACTAGGGCTTTGTCTCTGTGCGGCCACATAACCCAGTGGTTAGGAATATATTATGTTATCAATTCATATATCATTGAAATTGGAGTCGCTAGCAAGCAAATTACGATATCTACTAAAATATGACTAGATTACGGAAATTTCCACAAAAAATTGTCGTTTGGGAATTCAATATAGGATTGACAAATATAACTTTGTTGATTTCATTAAGCGTTTTTAACTTTTTTAAAGCCTATAATGGTCTAAGATTCCACAAACTCGGTCAAGGACATTGAACGACACAATTTATGCTTGCAATTCTAAAATAGTGTAAAGAAGAAACTCAGAAGAAGGTAAACTTAAAAAGACGAATGACATTAAGCTTAATGAAAAAGGAAACACGGTCACGATAGATATTACATAAAAAAAGATTTGGTTTTATTATATATTAACATATTCACTATCACAGTAGAAAGCAGCACAAAACGGCAATACTGATTCATTTCTCTTAAGACCCTTAAAGACAAAATAAAGATAAAAATAATCGCATCTTTACATGCTCATATAATCTTACCTATTAACAGGTCGGTGGCAGCAAGCGAGGCGATGAAGTAGTTACTGGGCTGACGAATGGTCCTGTCTACCAGGAAAGCGAGGAGTACCAGCACGTTACCGCTGACCGTCAGTAGAATGACCAGAACGAGACACGTTGCAAAGATGGCCGCCAACCACAGCGGGAAAGGCGGTAGTACTGGTTGCTAAACAAGAAAAAGGTTATTAATTTTGAGATTTTATGGGCATTTGCGTCATCGAGTGTTGAACAGAAAATAAAGAATTATAAAGGTGTGGTTTTATATATAAATATAAAATCTATTAGTAATCCAATGTGGAAAGTCTAATACCATTGTGGTAAAGTATTCTTCGTTTTATACAGTTAAATTATTCTTAAAAATCATCTGTATAATGTTGGGTAAAATTACTTTTCAAACATAGTCTATGCACATCAATATGATGTAAATCAAAATGTATTATTATTACTGATCACAGTTAGGATATTGTTAAAATGACCAAACTGTCCGAAGTGATTACTGAAAGCGTTCAATCAGATTTGAGTGGATACCCAAAGCACGTGTAACACTGAGATGTCAAACATTGATTCTGGAAACATAATTTTATGGTATGCTCTATCACACAGGCAAACGAGCAGTTGTGACACCTGATGGTAAGCAATCGCCTAAACAATTATCGGTATTTTGCTGAATCGTTGTTTTTTTTAATCAATTCAAATGAGCAGCTCTATTATCTGATAAATAAAAAGTGTGCCTGTGGACCATGTAAAGTATTAAGTGCTTTGTCAGCATTTTATAACTCACATATAGCTTTATTACACGGAATTGTTGTTAGATGGCCAGCTCAAAATAAATTATCAATTCGTATAAAATTAAAAGTTCCTAAACTATTCATTTTATAAGCAAAGTAGATAGTGCAAATTTTTACATCGAGTTTATCAAGTTAGGAATTGTATTTAGCGGCGAGGGATGGCAACAATGCATTGACGGTTTTCCATGAGTTCCTTGTTGCTGCGCCATACAGATAATTACTTTAAATTGATTCTAGATCTGTTAGTTTCCTTATTCACCTAGTCATGTAAATAATCAACAGATGAAGGTATAACGTAATGTACACTTAAGTGTTAGTATGAGTTGTTCCTAATATAGAAACAGAGATTAATTCCAATTTTAGATATTGCCACTACGATTTATTAGGGTTAAGGGATGTTATGTCTGTAAACGCCTTACTCAAATCCCTTATAATTACACGGCTCTAAAATTTGTAATGATCTTTGCAAAGTTTGGCTGACAAACTAAATGGTGATTAGATTTAAAGTTGGTTAACAAGCTTTTAGCGATTAAAAGTATAGGTCAGCAAACGGATTACCTCAAGGAAAGCAATCGGCGTCGCCCACTGGACAGTACATATTAATACTGATAATGCTTAAATTAAATTAAATTATAAAATTGTTTTATTGTATTTAACTATGGTTTTTTTTGTGAGGGGAAAATCATCAAATGATTTCTCCCGCCCAGGGCCGGGCGGGAGGGAGTGTCAGACTCTTACTGACTAAAAACCCCCCTGTTCCTTCTCCTGCTCTGGGCCGAGGTCGCGGTGCTTCATTGCGCTTACCACGCAACCCCGGCTGAACATCAGCCCTTTAGGGCCCCGTCTGTGGTGGTCTATTGGCTCTTTGAGGCGCGCGCGGAACGTTACGCGCCGTACGCTCGGGCCTGGTTCTGGTCGGGCGGCGAGCTGCCCTTACCGCCGACCGCAGGCCCGTGCTTACGGTGGCCAGAGATCGTCTCTTGATCCCCGACGCCCGTAGTGTCGCCAGTTGCGGCTGCTGGGGCGTGAGGAGGAGGATTGCTCCCTCACGCGGGCCGCCTCTCTCTTTGCGAGCATGACTGCTTCACAAAAGGAGGAGACGGCGTCCCAGTTCCTCTCACATTTAACTATGGTTGCTATGTATTTTCAGATATGTTCTCTTAACGGGATCGAAGCGTATTGGAGCAAACATCTAATAATTTTGAACGTAGAAAATTCAACCTCATTCAGTCTATTTGACTCAAATTATTTAAAAAGATACGAGTTCAATAATGCTATTGCATTAGTTTATCGTACATTAAAGTTTTTTTTAGCTTAGGGCTACAAACGAGATGCCGGCTACCTGATGGTAAGCAATTGGCGTTGCCAATGGGCAATCGTGATACCAGTATTAGAGTTAGGTTATTATAACTGTATTGAGATCTTTTGGATATTTTGGAAAAATAGAAGATTTTGGGATATAAGGTATGTAAGGATCGGGTCGGCCACTCGATGCATTCTTTCACGCTGATTTCTTCTATGACTTGGTATTACTCTATTTAGGCCGGCCCATTAATGTCAAAGCATGACTTTCCGTCAATTGGATTTTTACAGGTTATATAAACCCTGTGCCCGCATAAATAGACCTTATGTGGTGCAAATCAGTTGGTTAAAAGTACACACTACACATTATCTTTGTTCCTATGTGGTGTTCACGCAAACATTCCAGTACACGGCCGTGACACAATAGCCACGTCGATAATGAACAATCGATTAACTGTCTGCACCGTTAAACACTGGATCCCACCTTTGTTACCCCTTCTATTTTAAAAGAGGTTGGCAGAAATAGAAATTCTTTCCAAGGTCTCCGTTTAGTCAGTTACATTGTAACTTTAAGATGTCTGCTTCTCATGCATGAGGGTGCGCTTTCAAAATCTGGCAAGTACCAATGTGACTTTTTCCGAGTAATATAATAATGCGTGTGATAAAAATGTGTCTTTCAATTCAAGCTGAAATGCTGTGTCTTATTGACTCAGCATTTTTCAAGATATTGAAAAAAAACCAATCATGTTTAGCTACTAGATATAACTACAATTGGTTATAGATATTGTATTAACCAAAAACAAAGAAGCAACCACATCTAACGCCAATGTACTCGTAGAAGAAATAAATGTTAGTGTATTTTCTTTTAATTGATTCCTTTAGTATAAGAAAACTTTCATCCTTGGTATTGTTTGTCCCATTCAATAAAACACAATAAGAAAGCTGCCTATTCATCAACAGTGGGAGTTTCTTATCTACTGGGACCGATATTAGTGCAATTAAACTTAGTGAATGGGCTAAAGTAGATTGATACCGACTTAGCCATTTTTAGCTAATGAACAAAGGCTATGAAAGAATAACAATCAAAGTATCGACTTCGTTTCCTAATAAAACTTCAAGTTTTAATTACTTTTCGGATAAGAATTGTTCAGAAAATCTTTAGTGTAGTAGGATTAAAATTAGAACATATATTTTTGTAGCCTTGAAATGTTTTAAGTTTTAATCGTTTATTTATCACAGTCGATTTGATATGATAAAAAATATAATAATGTCAGTACAATGAATGCATCGTTAACTCATAATATATGTATTTTAAAGAGATATATCGTGTTTAAATTAAAAAGATCATGAAAACATAGAAAATCGTCATCACGTAAAAGGCATCATTTATTTCATTGCGATATGAAATGCCATGAAATTGTATTAAATAAGGTTACAAGAAAGTAAATTCTAAGAAATTACTCAGGAATTACTCAAACCTTATCGGTATCGAAATAATAATCGAAAAAATTAAGATCATTAAATACGAAACTTTTAAAAATTCTACTCTTAACAAAATGTAGGTAAATCAGATGAACATTCTCTCGCAGTCGAGTTATTTTCAACTCAATAACGAAACAGCAAACTTCGGTCATTAGTGGCTTGTACTAGTTCAGTGCCTGAGCTAAAACACTTCTTACTTTGCATCCACTAGAAGTTCCTATAATATTTCTCAATTTTTCATAGAACAGAGACTAGGTTAAGATAAAAACTGAGTTCGTAGACAAACTTGAAATAAATAATGTACTACATATGGTGGTTAGGAATAAACCGTTATTGAACGTAATAAATGTGCGAAGGAATTTAATGATTTATAATCATAAGTGCATTTTTGTCCACTGCTAGAAAAAAATCAGTGAACTCGATCTTTTTTTAAAGACAGTCAGTCATTATTCCTGAGGATCATCACAGTAATTCCCATAAGAAGAGATATTACTTTATATTTCTGTATTTTTACAATTATTGTAAGTTATTAGTTCATCCACTACCAACGATATAACTTATCCTTTAAAAGTAAAACACACTAAACAATACTTAAAACCTAATCCATCAAATAAATAGACGGTTACTTAAAACGAAGTCAAACCGAAATAATATAATAAAAAAAAAACTTACCAAGCCACCATTGACTGTGAGAATGTTTTCAAATGTGTTGTTGAAATAGTAGATGTCAGTGTAGTTTGTGCCGTTCGCCACCAAGTACTCGCCCTGACACTCTTGGTACCCCCCAGTGCTGGTTAAACATGTTCTCTGTCTCATTTTCTGTAGTTTCCTGTTGGAAAAAAAATAAGTTTTAACCCAAATACACAAACAACGATTGAGTTGTATATAAAATTACTTAAATATAATTTGAAAGTAGGATTATTTGGTAAATGCACACTGGTCCAAGACCATTCCCCTAAGGAATCCCACACAAAAGGCTTCCAAAATAGGAGTAACGAAGAATTGCAATCTAGAAACGCAATCTCAACGAATGGAGTGATATCGTTCCTTCGCTAGATCGCTTACGTTTTATTAAAGTGTGGACTCATCAACTTTTCGACCGCATTCTGTGGCAATAAAGCTAAAAGGTCCTTTGGTAAGATCTGTTATATAGCCATAGGGTTTTTGGGACAGACCCTTGGCTATTTGTATGTTTTTTATGACGGCGAAAAAAAATTGTAGGCCGTCCTTCAGAAGATAATGATATCTCAATAGTAAAAATATGTCTTCGTTTTTCAAAGTACTGACACATTTTATTGATCTTATTTATTTGAGTTAAATCCTATTTGTTTGAATGCAAGGATGGAGAGATGTAATGCGCACAAAAACGATTTATTTTTGATCCCAGCAACAGCAAGCCACATACAATATTAAAAAATATTTGAATCTAAAATCGAAAAACAGTGCATTCACCGGAGCCTTTGCCAGCATGCATATTTGAGGTTCTTTGAATTTGTTTTTCACTGGCACTGGATTCTTTCGGAGCTGGGAAGCTCTTCAGATATTATTCTGTGAATTCAAAGTGCAAAACAAAACAACTGTGAATGTTGTTTGCTTTGTTATTTACCTTTGTACTGAGAAAAAAATTCGGGAGTTATTTTTGCAGATTTTTTTATATTGCATTTCCATTGAAGCAGTCAGTCTGTTTCAAGTAGACAAGCTGCAGTGAGTTGTCGGTAGGAGAAATAATAAATAATTCCACGAATATTGTTGATTATACGTTGAAAATCGTATATATACAAATTAATTGCTGTTTGTTAGTCTCGATAAATCTCGAGAACTCATTAGTATAAATTTAATTAATTGGAGAAATTATCAAAAATGTGGATAATTTTAGTCCTAAAATATTAGTAGAAAACCAGAGAGGGTTTAAACGTTCAGAACATATTCATTATATTTGAGGCGGTATGGACTTTGCCAGTTAGTTATTTTTAAAATCAAACTGTAATAAATTATCATACTTTCAAGTATTCTAATTTAATTATCGCATTCAATTTTTTGCTGAGTAAGAACTCATAGTTAACAGTATTATCGACCTTCTACAAAGGCCGTTTATTTGAAGAGTATTATAGCAAGTCATTTTCGTGGAAACCTACGTGACTATACGAAACACGTCGGTGCACAACGCGTATAATAAATTGTGAATCGATACCTCCTTATGAGTCGTCAAGCACTCGCTATAAAGCTTGAAAGATAAGGAATAAAAAAGTAACGAAAAACTTAATCTAGTTTTTCGCATTAACAAATTAGAACTAAGAAAGATAAGGAATATGAATTTTTGTCTAAAAACAACAGAAAGCGAAATTCTACCGAAAAAGTCTATTCCACGTAGCTTCAGTACATTATAAGAATACAAACAACAAAATTTTACCGACCAAACCTTTTCTTCATGAATACAATATTGCTTCAAGTTTAGAGGTACAGATATATCAGCAGAACTCCACTATTGTGCTTTATAATTCATGTAGAAACTGAATTTAGTGCAACTACATACAGCATCGTGAAACATTTGGAATGTCTAATGGGTCATAGTGGAAGCATTTGTTTGTTTTATGGACGTAAAATAACTCTATACCTATTTTCTTTTTGTGACTGTAAGTCTTAAAAAGAAATAGGCAAGGTTAACTTGTGCAATATAAGTAGATTAGAAACTGTTCCAGTCTTCTGTAATTTCGAGTAGAAACGTAATGTAATGGATAAACCTGTTTTCTAAGAATGTGTTGTTAGTTCAATAAACTCTGATTTAATTAATTCTTAGATGGCACAGTGATAGGACGGTCAATGGCCGCCCGGCCAGAACCAGACCCGAGCGTACGGTGCGTTGCATTCCGCGCGCGCCTTTAAGAGCCAATAGATCACCACAGACGGAGCTCTATAAGACAGATGTTCAAGTCACCGGCGCCTTGGCCTAAAGTAGGAGACAGAACGGGGATTTTTAGTCAGTAAGAGTCTGACACTCCCTTCCACCACACCTGGAGCGGCAGACCAGACATTTTTTTTATCATATTAACAGTAAACACAGGATTATCACTTAATAGCAACCAAAAACATAAGATAAACTGTGCCTGCATAGACTAACACATTGTTAAATAATACTTATATAGGTATAATATTGGTTACGTTTACATATAGGTATAAACGTATGTTTTACAAATAAACTATCTTTCTTTTTTTATAACGGTTTAACAGAACAAGTTCTCTAATATTTTAAGCTTGAAATAAACCGAAGTTTCGACCACAAATTGCAACGTTCTGAAATAAAACCTAGGACTGGTTTTGCTACGTGTATCCACGCACTTCTATTGAAGAGCACGTGCGCCATGCCGCGTGAAGATTTCATGAGCACGCTTCGTCTGTGGCTGGTCGGCAGTTACCGAAACACTCACGTGGTTTAAGTGATACTTAACTAGATAGGCTAAAGTGGATCGGAAGCGTATTTGCACTGGCCATCTAGGCTTTATTCGATAGCTTTGTAAACTTCGTAAGCTCAAGATTCTTTGTTGATTTTTTTTTGTTATTGAGTTAAGTTTGAATCGACAAGAGAAATAATAATAAAGAGTACCAGAAGTGAAAGTCAAGGGCAAAAAATATTTAAGGAAGACAGGACACTTTTGAGCGCCGAACAAAATAAAGTATTGATAGACTGATAGACTGGCGGGTAACCTCTCTTCGCACAGATATCAAACTTACTCGGTGACAGTCATTTGTTTTGTTAGCACTATACTGTTTTATTACAGGGTTTTTTTATTTAATAGGTCGGCAAACGAGCAGACGGATTACCTGATGGTAAGCAATCAGCGCCGTCCATGGACACCCGCAACAGAGGTGTTATGAGTGCATTGCCGACCTTTTAGGGATTAGGGACTTAGAAATTTGGGGATTGAAGAGGGATTGAGGGAGGAGAGTGATTGGGCCTCGAGTAAGCTCACTCACATGGCGAAACACAACGCTGTGGTTGTTTCACGCCGGTTTTCTGTGAGGCCGTGGTATTACTCCGGTCGAGCCGACCCATTCGCGCTGAAGCGAGGCTCTCCCACACTTACGGAAGAATGGTTATTTCCTGATTTATTCCTCTTATAAAACTCTTTTACTGATTTTAAAAGACACGTGATAAAACGAACTAACAGAATCGGTCCAGCCGTTACTGCTGGGTGAAAGATGACAATGTAACTGACCCTGTCCTCGGCCCAAAGTAAAGAACGAGAAATAAACTCAGTGGTCGTTCATTTCTAATCAGTTTCATAATGGAATGAGAATTTATTCTTAAACAAATATATCCAGAGTAGGCTTGTACATACCATTGTGTTATAAAGCTGGTACCGATTGTGTATATCGGCGTGGACCGGTTGACGTCGAGGCTGGTCTCCGTAGAATTCATCATCTTAAAGGCTTGCTATTGAAGGCTGCTATTATTGTCTGAGTTTTGTTGTCAGGTCTTGCTACCGAACCTCAGTGCATCTGCAACAAAGCTGTACGTAAAACTATGGATTATGTAGTCACAAATATGAATATATAGGTAGGTCTATATTAAAATAATGATGTAAGTAAATCCCTTATATGGCTTAGAAATAAAATATTTAGTTTATCCTCATAACTTATAGCAGTTGTAATGATTTTATATAACTGAACATGATATTTTCGAAAAGTTACTATCGTGGGATATACTGGATTTTTTGAAAATAACCACTTACTCACGTGATTTAACTGAGAAAAACTATACCTACTAGTTTTATGATTTCTGAACTCATGAATAAGAGTCCCGTTGTTAATTGAAACTAGTAGAGCTTTTATTAGTTAATTCATTCGAGTAAGTTGTTATTTTGAATATGAAAACGGTTATCAAAATACTGTTTGCTTCTACAGAAATTTCACCATCATCTTTTTACAATCTGTACCTATATTTTATGAATTCCCTTTCATTCATTACCGAATTCACGTATGAAAACCACACATTCGTCAACCTTTACACCGTTTCTAAGTAGAACACCCTTGACACGCAAAATAATGCAAACATCAAGGTAGAATGCATGTCTTGCTCAATACCTATTATGTACCTCCCTCACTGTCGCCCTATTCAAATCTCACCGTTATAGATAAGGAATGTGCCAAACGGGGAACGGGTGTCGTCCGGCGGCCGCGACGGCCCGGAACGCTAACGTCGTCCATGCGATCTCGGCTTTATTTCATCTGTAAAGGAAACGCTTGAGTTTGATCAGTGGACCGAGAATGTAGGTGGGAATTATTTTTGTTTTGCTTTCGTTACGATTATTGGAATTTTATGGGCTGGTGAATATTTTGCTGGCGAAAATATTGTTGATTGAACTTATTTTCTTTTTGGGTGTCTTTGAACAATTTTGTCTGATTTCGTTAGCTAGTCAATGACAATATCCGTGAAGGTTTATTTATTTCTATTTTCGACTCTTGATTTAGTTAGTCTATAAACCCATGTTACAAAAAAAGCCATGAGTACAAATGTGGATGGATGGAGAAGGAGATGGAGACCAAAGAAAATATGGATGGATTGTGTGAGAAATGATATGGAAGACAGAGGATGTAGTGATAGCGTGACGGGTGACAGGACAGAATAGAAGAAAAAAACATATTGCTCCGACCCCAAATAAAACGGGACAAGGGCAGGAAGATGATGATGATTTAGTTAATCTATCTTGATGTAAGAGTTATGATGTGTTATTTTAGCAGTTAATGAGTAATACTTAAACTCGGAATTATTTGTTTTAAAAACAAACAAATAAAATATATTAACTCAAATCACTAACTTTTGAAATACACTACGTATTTTTAAATTTTGACGACCGTAATATCTAATGTAAAATTGCAGTGTTAAAAACGCAAAGCATTAAACTGTTTAAAAGTAATAGTAGAGCAAGTTCGCCAATAATCTCTTCCTTTTAACTTTCCTAACATTGTTTAAAAGTAGAACAGAAAAACAAGAGTGGGACTTCTATAACTTATTTGCTCAGTATCTTCACCTTAATACGCGTATAAACATGTGTAGCGACAACGGAATGGTTCAATGGCTGGCTTACTCGACTGGAAATGGCCTATCTCAAGGACTAGTAACAAGATATACCGGCGTACCTCACATCGAGCTACCCATAATGACAAATACCCTCAATACAATTTCAACCTTATTTCAAAATGGTAAAATACAAAATGTATTGGGTAAATTGGAGAATTAAGGGTAGGTTGATGGACTTTTATTAATGTTACCTGTATTGACTGCAGTAGGTACGTACACATTCGATGTCGTACATTTCCGTGCTTATATTAGGTATCGTTATGTTCGTATATGCTTTGTTGGAAGGTTGTATTTGAAAGGTTAGCGTCAGCATTCGTGTTCGTTAGTATAAGTTAGCCAAATTCAAATAACTAACGGCCAACCCTTACCATAATAAGAAGAGAAAGAAGATTGTCTTTGGTTTCTTGATACGAAGACGGTCTAAAAATATGTGAGTTGTTGTAATTTGAACTAAATATCTATCTGGTCAAGGAGACGTTTTTTTTAATGACATAAGTCGGCAGACGAGCAGACGGATTACCTGATGGTAAGCAATCGGCGCCGCCCATGGACACCCGCAACACCAAGGAGTTACGAGTGCGTTGCCGGCCTTTTGGGGATAGGAGTTGCGGATATAAAGATCGGGAAGGGATAGGGGAAGGGAAGGGATAGGGGAAGGCAAGGGATTGGGCCTCCGGTAATACTCACACGGCGAAACAAAACACTGTGGGTTGTTTCCATGAGGCTATGGTAACACTTCGGTCAATTTGGCCCATTCGTGCCGAAGCTTGACTCTTCCACACTTATTCTCCCGAAAAACGCCATGTAAAGTGTGGGATAGCCAAATTGACCGGAGTGTTACCATGGCCTCACAAGAAACCAGCGTGGAACAATCACAGAGTTGTATTTCGCTGTTTGTGTAAGGTTACCGGAGACCCAATCCCTACCACTCCCCCCATCTCTTCCCAATCCTAAAATATCGGAAACACCTATCCCCAAAAAGCCGGCAACGCACTTACAACTTCTTTGCGTGGTGCGGTTGTCCATCTGCCCATGATAGCTTACCATCAGATAGTTCTTCTGACAGACTGTCACAAAATTTTCTGCTCTATTGTCACCCCATAAACCAGGAAACAAAATAAAACAAAAGAAACACAAAACATTTCCTTGCTTATATCTTGTGATAATAAACACCTTATTATCCAAGTATTTTGTGTTTATAGAACCGAGCCCTTATTACTCGTACAACACTTTAGCGATCCCATATCGATATAATAATATATTGCCGTTATGTCACGAGGAAAAGGAGTGTTTTGTGACGATGTTCGAATACCTACTTAATATGTAATGTATGTAGGTTTTATTTCCTTTGTTGATAGGGAATAGATGGAAAATGTTGCATGGTCTATGAAGTTACTGTGTTTTTCTATTCAAATATGCTTAAAATGATCCCGATTAAAGATTGATGTCGTGAAGGCAAAATTATAAAAAAAAAATATGTCACGATAATGATCTTTTTTTTGATAAACACAAAAGCTACATTTAAATTTGAATACTTAATTGCTAATTAATAAACTAAACGAAATTCCTAAAATATCTGTTTAAAGCATTCTAAAAAAAGACGTCAAATTTTTATAATTTTTCGTTAATAAAAATGATATTTATTTCTTAAAGTTATTTATTTGTAATAGTTAAACGACAGAAACGTCCGAATTTAAGGTTCAGAAACAGCAAGGTTGGCGCGGTGGCTGGGCAAATGGCTGCCGCGCAGTATCGCGTGCTTGATGCCCGAACGGAACAACTCTTTGTGTGATCCGCAAATTGTTGTTCCGGGTCTGGGTGTGATGTGAGCATATGTGGAATTGTATGTTTATAAACGCAGTCACAACACAGAAGCAAATTCTAGCGTAGGTCAACGTTTTTTTTATCAAAATTCTATAGCTATCATTATTATGCACATGTCTCATATGTCGCTACCACCATGGGCAACGGAAAAGCTAGACCAGCTTCCACATTCTGTATGAAACTGACGTCAAATATCGTTACTTAGTTGTGAAATGTGTCTTATAGATACATAAATTAATCGTGAACATAATGTCCCTTATTTTGGCACCTTATTTATCAAACGACTTCTTCTTCGCCCAGGGTAAGGCCAGAGAGACTGCCAGACTCTTACTGACCAAAACCCCACCCGTTCCTTCTCCGGCTTTAGGCCGTGGCTGCGGCTGCTGTGCCTCATTGCGCTTGCCTCGCAACCCCGTTGAACATCAGCCCTGTAGAGCCCCGTCTGTAGTAGTCTATTGACTTTTTGAGGCGCGCGCGAAAAGCTATGCACCGTACGCTCGAGTCTAGTTCTGGTCGGGCAGCGAGCTACCCTACCTCGCCGTCCGCAGACCCGCGCTTACGGTGGCCGGAAATCATTAATTTCTCGAATCTTATGTACCTAAGTGTTCAATTCACAAGGTAAAATTCGTTTTTCATAAGGGAATCTAACGTGAGATAATTATGCAAAAAATTATAAAATCACAAATTTAACGAAATTTACAGAAACATTAATGTGGAATGGTAAAGAATGAAAAGTTTTATAAAGAGCGTTTACACCGCATAGGTTTTCGTACAAACTTTCGTGGGGATCGTTTGTGTCTTTACAAACTCTTTTTTCAAAAAAGGGGTCTTAAGTTTATATACCTCAATATATTACGAGTCTCATTAAAATCAGTTCGATAATTTCCATGATTTTGTAATCGAAACATTGTGTGAGAACCCTCTCTATATACATGGTGCGCAGTAAAAGGGGTATTCAGGTGAGTCAAGGCGAAATAAAAGGGTTTCGAAGGTCAGTACCTACGATAATGCAGTAACTATTATATGTGCGTCGTTGAATTTTGTGAGAATAATTTTAGGTGATTGACCTTTGGGGATATGGAGGTAGCTTGAAAATTGTTTTTATGTAATAAAGGCTATCTTCAGTTTTGTTACGATGCTAATGGGTGTTTAGTCCATACTGGTTTTTTATGGTATAATAGGTCGGCAAACGAGCAGACGGATTACCCGATGGTAAGCAATCAGCGCCACCCATGGATACCCGCAACATCAAAGGAGTTGTTGTCGAGTGCGTTGCCTGTCTTTTAGGGATAAAGGTTTAGGATATTTAAGGATTAGGAAGGGATAGGGAGAGATCGGGCCTACGGTGACTTCACTCACACGGCGAAACAAAACGCTGTGGTTGTTTCACGCCGGTTTTCTGTGAGGCCGTGGTATCACTCCTGTCGAGCTGACCCATTCGCGCCGAAGCTTGACTATCCCACACTTAAAGGTCTTAATACTTATAAACCTTTATTCAACTACGTAATTAATCAATATGCTGTATATTTAAAAAGTGGAATCTTGGAATAAAATTTTGAACAACAACATATCTTTAACTAACACAAATTAAGTTTGCATAACCATAAGTGCTAAGATTAATGAGTTTACTCTAAATCCACAAAAAATGAACCTAAAGTGTGTTAGGTCCATATGGTAAAAGCTTTTTTTGTAAGTACTACGTTAAACCTGAAAACATTATTATTCGCATTAATCTATGGCATTTCTATATGAAGGCTTTACTAAATTTTGAACAACCCTAGGGTGAAGTTATTTGCTCGATCTTTTAAACAAATGATCTAGAAGCAGCATTGACAAAAAGTAAAACAATATTTCGAATAATAAACAGTAAAAATAAATCATCGTATTCTTTTTTGTTTCGAATTTTAAATTAGGAAACGACTGAAAAAAGTTTGAATCTTAATATAATAAACAAAAAAAACGAATTCCCAAACTTATGTTAACTTTTTGATGATAAGATTATAATAATTTTAAAAAAATGGTACAAAAGTATGAAACAAATGCAAATGATTATAAACTGAATTCATAGAATAGTAGAAATCAAACTAGAGTAAACAATGGCAATGAAGTCGACAAGGCAACAGCAAAAGACTTTATTCAGTGCTAACTGACAGATGTCGACCTCTTTAGTAAATAAATTAATCAATAACTAAAACCTTTTTGTTGACACTAACTGTTTGACAGCCGAAACATTTTTATTACGACCAAAAAGGTAAGTCCGTGTATAAAATAAAGTAAAAATAAAGGAATGGCTGGCACAAAAGTGTTATTATGCAATTAAGGA